TCAGCTGGCGCAATCTTCGGAAACGTCAGACTCGGGAGTAGAAACCAGCGACAGCATTGGAGTCAATGATGGTAAGCTTCTTTATCATAACGAACACTTTACATAGTTTAATATTACCAAATCACGATCAAGTCAGGTTAAGTTGTAGGTAAATTCACAGGAGAGCCACACGGTCGAGACTGAAAGTTTTCCTTTGTTTTAAAGACAATTAAAATGTGCGCACAAATTCTAAGCAAAGAAATCTCTAAACAACTTCATGTGGCCGGCGTTTGGCGCAGGAATTCTGCACCGAGTGAGTCACAATTAATAAGTTTCCGATTCTCTTCTGGTTGGCAGAGAAAAGAACGCGAGACAATGAAAATGTACACAGATAATCGATTGAAACGATCAGAACTCAAAGAAACTTCATGAAGACGAGGATTGAAAACACATGCTTTTGATTGGTGGAGAAATTATTGCAACTTTCTTTAACCATTCACAAAGTTCATTAAAGCAAGGTCTTATCACTTGCAAAATTACTGTTTAAGTCTTGGTAGAAAACTGCTCTGAAAGATGATATGTTTCGGTTTAGAATTTAACCTTGAGTTGCTGAGTGGTGTGGCCCTTTCGAATTCCGAGGTAGGTGTTGATAGTTCTTTTTTTTTTCGTGAACTATATAGGTGTGTAACCTCAAAATAGATCTCTCTTAAGGGACATTTAATTTTGATGACGCAGTGCTAGCTCTCGATTGCTAATTGTAAAGTTAAGTAGTAGTATCTGATGTATCTAATAAGCAGTGTGCTCGGGTCTGAAATGGCTAACATTTTGGTGATACCCTAGCAGTAGTTTTTGGTAGGGGTTTACAACCAACCTCATTCACACCAACTAAACGTGTTTAATTTTACCCGGTTAAAAAAAAAAGAAAGAAAAGAAAAGAAAATACAGGTTACACTGGAACACAGGTTAGTTTTACACAGGATTCAAATGAAATTCAACAGGTTTTGTTATTTGCACTAAATTTGCAATCAACTCAATTCAATAATGAAGCTTCTATTACGGAAACAAATTTAAGCCTTGTTTAATTAAACAGCTTTTAAACATGTTTTAGTTTTGGTGTTACTCCGCTTTTCACAAACATGCGAACTCTAAAGTTCAAAAGCGGCCTTCACAATTGCGTTTTTCGCTGCTGTCAATCATAATAACGATCACAAGCAAAACACAGAAACACACACAAAAAACACACAAACACACAAAACGGATCGAAATCCACCGATGACAAATCACAAACCATGACCTTTTGAACCCGTTAAAGTAAAGTTTTGTTTCCTAAGAGGTTCGTTAAGATGACTGACGGCAGTGAAAAACGCAATCGTCAGTTGGCTTTTGAACTTTACGATATAAACACACAGATCTGACTCGAAAATTTTATCAAGCTTGCAGTAAACGAGATCTGTCCAAGGTCAAGCTCACTTGAGGTAAGCTTTTCATGATTTGTAAAGTTCACTTTTAGTCTCAAAACAATCTACTTTAGAAGGTTTTTAAACGGGCGTAAAGAACTATTTGAGAGAATTTGATAAGAGGTCAAAAGATGTTGCGTTTATATAATTGGTCATAATATGATAAATTTTTCATAACCTTTCCTCTTGATGATGTGTGGGTATTATTAGGAGAAAATTGGAATGGTTAGATGGACTGCAGGTTCCGTATTGCCTGTGAACAAGGATTGCTTACTTTGAAGTAGAAAAGCTAGTTGTAGTGCCTCTTATAGGACCTGGTTGTTAACCCCATTATGTTCAATTTGAGTTAGTTTTCTCTACTGTACCTAGCCCACTAAATTGAGGTAAATAAATTCACTTAATCAGGGTTTCAAGAACTTCCCGTCCTCTCTTGGACCAGTGGAGTTTCTTGATGGGAAAGTAACTTTATAAGCTCACTCGCTCAGTGGCTTCCAATGAGCAAGTAACTTATTACTGGATCGAAGGTTTTTTTTATGTTTCCGACAAATTTACTGGAAGTGATTAGGATGATGATAATGATGACGATGATGATGATGATCATCATCATCATCATCATCATCATCATCATCGTCACAATAGTAACGATAGTGATAACTATCACGATATATTCATCAATTAAAAGAGAGAAGTTGTTACGTCACGTTGCCATGGTCGCAAAAATTTTGAATGACCACAAACCAAAAACATCACTTAAAAAGTGAATTCGCACTGTTTCAAATTTCATCGATCTTATTCAATTTCATTTAATTTGTTAAATATTTGCGACATTCTCTGGGGTTGAATCCGAAAGTAACGCATCTGAGTTAAGAAAAAAGAAATGTTTGTGCTGTGTTCACCAACCAAATTAAGAAGTTCCATGTCGTTGGAAAAAAAGTGTGATGCACGTGCAAAGTTGTTGTTTTATGTATCGGTCAAATCGAAGCTTCAACATGCTCCCCCGGGCATACCCCGGGCATTTGACACCTTTGCCGTCCCGGGGAGGAGGGAATTTGATGATCAGAGTCTTCCAGGGGGTGGGGAATTTGAACTGCACCCTCGATTTCATGTAAAATCTTTGGCTTGGTGAGCTATCATGGGGGACGCGGTGTTAGAGGATTTTCGTGGAAAAGATTGTGCCTTTGTGGCCAATTGGTTACGAGGAAAGGGCTGAAGCAAGCTTTGTGCCGTATTTGAAGGATTTAAATTTTGAAATTTTCAATTGGATTCAGGCTTTGAATGTATTTTATTGTTGTGTTTACATTGAAATACAGTACCTATAGCGACGATTCAATACAACAACATAAAATGAAATAAAATAAAAAGCTCAGGTCAACTACTTTGACCTTCTGGACGTATGTTAATTAATAAGGAGAGCGATGATGCATGTCAGTGAAATTGGTCATGATGTAGTAATCTCAATAGGTGGAATCTTTTTTTATAGACCGCTTTGTATGTTGCATGATGAAGAAAAGCTGAGCATTCACTGACCTTGTAGCAGCGATTTCCGCCGCTTTGCATGAGATTTTTGTTCGTAGTAAATACGCTAACAGTGTTTCTCAGTTTTTGTTATATTTATAAAGATTTTGTTCGACAACTGAAGGCGTTTCCGCCGTTCTTCTGTCATTTTTGTGCCTGTGAAATGTCCCCAGGGTGGGGGCATTTGATCACCTGAATGGGCCCTAGTGTGGGGCATTTGAACGGCATTTTGGCCCGGGTAGGGGGGAATTTGAACAATAATTTTCAAAAAAGTCAAATGCCCGGGGGGTTGCCCGGGGGGGGGGCATGTTGAAGCTTCGATTTGACCGATACATTACTAATATAAACCTATCGCGTTTTTGCTGTTCTCGTCATTGTCACCGTCGTCCTTGCTTAACGTCTCTATTGTTGTGATCCAGAATTTGGCAACCGAACGTGTTGTCACACTTCTTCTCTCTATTTACCTGTTTTTCAAAACATTTCAGGGTGGAGTACCCTTCACGCTTATTTTCAACAAGAACCTGCCTCATGATGTTGAGTCTGCGATCGCTCGCTTTGGAAACCATGGAGCTGTTCCGTTAATAAAATTGAATGAACTTAATATGAGGGGGCGAGTCCCGGGTGAGTTCCTTTATTTTTTAGTATTTAAGAGCAATCGTGACGTAAAGTCATCTTTTAAGCGTTGGAACCCTGGAGTTAGAGCGGTTTTCATTTGAGTGTCGAAAAGTAATTGGTTTTGCACTTTCTACACGATGCGATTGGCTTAAAAGATTCGCGCCACCTTTTCATCCAATCAGAAGTAAAACCAAAGCCAATTGTGACGCGCTCGCATGCATTTTCCCGCGCTTTGCGTCAGCCACATGTAATTACTTCGAGTTTTGATTGGTTCAATGTATTGTCTGTGTCCTATGTGATTGGCCAGAGTAATTACTTTGGTTTTGGTTTTACGACACTCAAACGAAAACCACTCTATACCATAAGTAGGTTAGACATCCCGTTATGGATGATGATCATTACACGTTTCTGGGAAAATACCCACCCGGCTACCCCTCCCCTAAGCCAACATTTTGCCCTAAGTGAGAAGTAGGTGTTGATGTTGACTTAGGGGAGGGGTAGGAACGTTATCGACCGACTGAGTGTAGTTCTGAACACTGGGAGACAGCCTGTTCGGAAGGCATTACCGGAGTCATAGTCAATTGACTGTCTTCAAGAAACCAATCTTAACGCTTAAATCACCTTTGAGTCTTCATATCCAATATCATCAAGGTAAAATAACTAAGATAGTACGCGCACTCTGATTGGCCGAGAGGAGTGTTTGCATGAGAGTATGTAAACATGGTTGTGGCGTCAAATTGTTTGGCTTTTCGTGCTCTAATCAAGCAAGCACGAATTTTAAAAAGTTTTCGAGTTCAAAACTCGACAAGTTTACTTTATTTACCCATTCCTTCGTCGCCTGAAACATGGAAAATCGTTACAAAGAAAGTGAGTCAATTTTTCTTCGCTTAAGCAGACATTTTAAGCGAGAAAATTCCGTATTTTGCAAAGCATCTTTTGTGCTACTTTTGCTCTCCTGCACTGCGATTTTGTACCACGTGAATGGCTAGCTGCAAAGGGCCTATTGGTTCGAAGCTTGTTTTCCCAGAGAACTGACGTTAGACATTGGATCCTTGATAGGAGCGGTTGTTAGTAACCAAAGTAATTTTGAAGCACCCGCCCACCTGACTCCTTCTCCGTTCCGCTTTGTGGCCTTAATGCTTCAGATCTACCTCGTGGCTCATACACAGAACCATGAGTCCAATTTATCCCAAGTTTCTTAACGTGAGAAACAGTTTCTTAATATAACAGTTTTATTCCGTAGGACAATCACGAGTTTTTATATACTGCTGTTTTTTGTTATGCATTTTAGCTGGACAGGCGCCAGGCCACGTAGCCGTCAAAGTGCAAACCTTTAGCGGGCGTTTACTTGGTGAGACTACATTTGAATATGTAGATGAGGTCGAACATGTACTGCAGATACTCCTTCGTGACAGAAAACTACAGGCGAGGTATTTTTATCTTTTGGCTGAGAAACTTACAAGCAAGCCGAGTGAAACGGATGACAATACACACGAACCTCCCAATTCCCAAGTGACAGGTAAAGCTCTAGCTTAAGCGATGCTTTGCAGACGACTCTTCTGTTCACGGTAGTGAACTGGAAATATCACAGAAACGAGGCTTATGCCGGCAAATTTTTGCGAAAGATGAAATCAGAGATCTTTTGATTCGAGGACGAGATTTAACTTTAAATGTTTTCGTGCATTCTCAAAAAATAGACACCCCGAAATGCCTTTTCACCAGAAAGGTTAGTACTTCTAATACATGTATTTAAGTATATGTTTCCGCCACTACTGTATCTTCCCTAAAATCCGTAGTAAAATAAAGGCGCAGGTTCTAATACAGTTATTCCGAGATAGGTTGTCTGAAAAAGTCCGCGCGACAACCCCGTAAGATATTTTGGGTGGTTTTGAATTCACGGTTCTTCAAAGAAATTAGAAAGAATGGCACGCGAGGCCACGGACTACGTAAAGGAAGGCAACAAACATATGTTCGACAGCTGCATTGTCAGGAACAGCGTGTTGATCATATCCCATATTACCTTTCGGAATTGTCGCGTGCACATTTTTACCGACAACCTTTTCCGAAATAGCAGTCCGCCACTACTACATTCTCTCCAAAATCCGTAGTAAAATGAAGGCGCTGGTTCACGCGCGTGCACTTCTCAGTTTTGCGAAAATCACGAATTCTCTTAGTCGTTCTCGTCTTTGAATCTAAAAGCCTCTATTGTTCCGTCCCAGTAGACTATAACCTAGTTCCAGTTTAAAGGCGAGATTACGAATTTGGTTTAAAAACCAGAGCCAGCGTTATGAATCCCAGAGGGAAGGGGGGATTCAAAAGATAGCAATTTCGGCGGGGCTAGGGGCGGAGAAGTTGAGTTAGATTGTTGAATTTGAACAGCTGCTCTGAGCGAACTGTCAGGTAGTTTGCTGTCAACTGGTATTTCAAAAAAAGAGTGGTTGTTTACATTGATTGTCCTCTTTACTGTCGGGTGAATACATTTTTTCGCAGACCGGTTTACCGTGGAAAATACAGTTACATAGGCTCATGAATAAGCTTCCGATTATCTAGTGGTATTTACCGTAATGTGATCGTCTTCTACGCCCAATTCGAGCATGTCCAAACTGAAAGGAAGTAATTGAAGTCCACTCAAGGTTTAGTTGGAACCTTTGAATGTAACTGCGGTTCACTCTTAGAGAAAAGAAACTATCCGTTATTACTAAAAAATACTGTTTAATAAATTTATTTTCAGGACGTACTGCTAAAGAAAGTGACTATGAAGCAGATGATGAGGCTTCTTCGTCTTCAGATGACGAATGGATTTTTAATCCTGGTTGGTAAAAAAACGCGAAGAAATTTAATTTATCTTAGTTTAAAGTTTTTAAGTAAGCAAAACTTAGATATTAAAGGCTTATAAGCTTATTTATTGGATGATTTCCTTGTTAGCATGTTAGTAAAAAATGTATAGATTTCAAACCATAAAGTTTTAAATCAAGAAAAATCGAGTATTTCAAAAGGTCTTGTATTTAGTTTATTTAGGGTTCAAGTTGGATTCAAATTGCTGTATGTGCAGCCGCAGATTACTCTTCGTAAAGAAAAACAAACAAACAGATAGCCAGACAAAACAAAACAAGACCAGAGCACTGCACTGAGACTACATTATTTTTTTTTTAAAAAAAATCCATTTTCTTAAATGTTTGCTTTTTGTTTAATCCTTTTCAGGTACCCTTGATTACAATCACTATGAGATCGAGACCAAAAAAACAAATCAGACTGATCATTTTGATTTATGCGGGGAGCCTGATAGTATAAGAAAACTATTTGCGCGCCAATTAATGGGAGCACCGAGACATCAAAACAGAAACATAGAACCTACTTTATGGAAAACATATCAGACGGACAATTATGATTTGCGTGAGGAACCTGGCAGTACAAGAAAACTGAGTGCGTGCCAATTAATGGAAACACTGAGACATCAATACAGAAACATAGGACCTGCCTTATGGAAAACAAATCACACTGATCATCGTGATTTGTATGAGGAGCTTGATGGTACAAGGAAACTATGTGCGAGCCAATTAATGGAAGCACCGAGATATCAAAACAGACACAAAGAATCTACTTTAACGACAGATAAATCTAAGGAATATTGTCACATACAAGATAACAACGGTGGAGAACAGTCGATAGAAATCATGAATTTTATAAGTTTATTGAAAACTGAAGATGTAGCCGTAAAAGACAGTGTTGATGACATATCGTCTAACTTACAGGAAACCCGAACAGCCATAAGCCCTCTGAATTCTTCAGGTAATATGAAGACTTTTTTGGTGGGATTGTCATGTAAAAGGATGAGATGTTGGTCAAAATTTTTAAAGAAACCCATGTTTTATCGAATAATGACGAGGGGGATTTGGCTTGTGTTCCAACCCATCGAAGTGATTCTTCGCAGGGTCCTTGCCAAGTTGATGATTGGACGCTCTTAAAAATAACTGAGAAAATTATCCAAAGAAATGTTTTTTAACAAAAGAAAAAGAAACCCGGGTTAAGCGCTGATCGGCCTTCGAACAACTGCGCCCAGTAGAACATCTATTGCGCTAGTAAAACAAAAAGTTCTTTTTACACGCCCGAAGCACTCTGGCCAGTGTGTTCTCAAATAACAAGCACTTGAGACGAACCATACGATTTCACGCTGATCAGTGGCCTTCAAAACCATTTCATTATGATGCACAGTTTAAATCGAGGTTTCGCTGTACGCAACCCTTACGTTCAAAATATGCCATAATCATAGTTATCTATCGCAAGAACCATCCACCCTTTCCCCTCAAATGCTACCTGTGCGCCTAGCAAACATATCGAACGCACTCTCCTAAGCTCCGATTACTCCTAGTTTAAATACTCAGCAAGTGGACGAGGCTGAGTATGATACGCAGAATTGTGCAGATCGAGTGGCCTCGAGGGATAAGACCTAGTCTGCGTTGCAGCCGGACTCAAGACCTAGAACTCCAAAATCTGTCTATATCGAGGATTTTGCGTTCAGTGCTTTTTTTTGCTGTTCTTTCTGTATTTTTTATATTTTTGCTGTTCTTCCTGTTTTTAGGTAGTATTAAGTTCCTTCTCCTTCGCATAACTTGTCAAGTCTCTCAGTGGGGAACAAAATTAGAAGGTTCATGTATACGTCAAAAGGGAAACGCGAATTTTTACCACGTGATCAAGTTTCCACTTTGATTGTCGTTTACTGTTCATTTTTTCTACACATAAATTAGAAGTTTCACGCATCTGCTCATTTTCTTTCTTGAGAAATTCTTGAAACAGACGTTTGCCGTTTGCCTTTTGCCGTGTACGTGAAGCTAAGAAAATCTAAGACGTCTGCCAGAATACTATATCTCCTTGTCTTTGTAAAGGTAGAGGTTTTTTTCTTGGGATTGGTAGCAAATTTCTACGGAATGTTCCTAATGGATGGGTTTCCCGCGAATCTCAGTTTTGCAGATTGCAAATCTCAAATCTTCTTAGGTGCTATTTTCATTATATTCGAAAAGGCAAAGATGGGTGTGGAGAAAGGGGTAGCGGAATTTAGGTTGGTTGCGAAAGTGGGTGAAAAACGTCTTGGTTATCGCAGCGATCATAGCGACCATATAAAAACCTGCCTTAAAATGATACTTAAGGGGGTGAGGGGGGGGGGGGAGGGGGCTTGGAAAAGGAAAGAGGGGGGGGGGGGAAGGGGGGTGGGGATTTTGGGTTGTTGGGCAAGGGGGGGGAAAACCTTTTTGGTTTACGCCGCTATTATAGCGACCATAAAAAAACCCCCCTTAAAATGATACTTAGGGGGGGGGGGGGGGGGGGGGGATGGGGCACTCCCTTGTTTGGCCGTGGCAGGTATGTGCCGCGGAACAGGGTATGGCTAGTTCTTGTGCGAAACGAAATGAACCAGCGTCGTGAAAGCAGGTCACTTCTCTTAGAAAGGTTAGCAAAATGAACAATTTTTATCTTGAACAGGGTCAGGGTTTGAAGGGCTCGGCGGCATCCCCCTGCCCAAACTTCCCTTGAGTGCCTCCCCCGGGGCTAAAATATGACAATACGTTCGCTGAACATTTTCACCGATCGTATAGGGATCACATCAAACCCAGTCTTAACTGTTTGCTCTTTGTTTGCCTTTCAGTTTTACGAGTCAGAGACCACACAGAAACGCCAGAGTTTGTTTCTCAAGGTCGCCAAGACGAGAAAAGGATAAAGAATACACAGGATCCAGAAATTGCTCACGAACAGTTAAACTGCTCAGATACAAATGAAAATTCACTTTCTGATAAAAGCCGGCGGGCGAATTACCTAAAGGAGAGAAATCAAATGAATAATAATCCAGCGGAAGATTTATAAAGGATATTAACTTTTTGTAAAAACAAAAATTTGCTTAGCAATACATCCCTGCTGACAGGTACGTCAGGAAAGAACGGCACTGAACAAAATGTACTGATTTTGGTGCTTAATAATGCGTCGGTAAAACTTAGTTTGAGTAGATATCAGTATTAAACGCGAGAAGCAGAAGAAGACCTTTTTCGCAGTGAGGGGCCATCGAATGGCCTTAATTCGCGAGGCAAGTACGTTCGAAATTGTATCGAACCTGATTATAAATTGATGATTGATCCAGTTTCATCTGCTGTCACGTCTCTGTTTGTTTCTTACAGATAACATGCAGAAACCTTACAGAAAGCTGACTACCACGACCTCAGGGATGTTTTCAAGTGAATGGTGTCTGTTTATATGGACCAACTGTTAAGAATTCACACCAGATGTCTTCAAAATACGTCATTTCATATGTGAGGCCATTGGAAACTCCTCATTATGAGTTAGCAGAGCAGGAAGCTCGGGAAAACAAAATTCCGAACGGCATAGCCTCCCACGCAGACGTTCTTAGAGTGTCTGAATGGGATTTGAAACCACATTCATTTGTTTCCCCATAATTTTGTTCGTGCAGAGGTTTCTCTCTTGCCTGGCTTTTAGTGTGTACGAAATTTTTTGCGTGGCTTGTCTGTCACTTAGTTAGTTTATTTGGTTTGTTTACGCTCCTGGGGCGTACAAAACAAACCAACTACCTCACTTACAGGCCACGCGAACGGCTTCGTTAACACTAAAAGCCATGCAAGAGAGAAACCTCTGCTCGCAAGGTAGTCTTCGGACATCTGTCGCTGGGAATCTTTGTTAGCCTGCGCGAATCTTCTGAACTAATCCGGAATTGTCCGAAAGTGGCCGAAAACTCCTTGATATGTTAAGAGAAATAATATTGACCTTTTTAGAGCCGTTTTAGTTTCTTTCTAGAAAAAAAAATACTGTTACAGTGAAAAATTTACTGTTTCTAGAAAATAAATTAATGTTAGTGTTAAAATGCCCAAAATCTGTGTCAGTGTTACGGAGCCAAAAAAGTTTGTTTTTTCTGTTATCAAGGTACCCCCATTCAGACTCTCTTCTTAGGGCTTGGTCAAGCATTCCGTCAACCCGGAACGCGTGACGGACTGACCTAAAGAACGTCTTTAGAGGAGGCTATCGACACTTGAAAGTCGACAGTGCCTCCTCAAACAATGAACAAAGGGAAAAATAGATGAAGTCTGGTGGATAAAGGACATAAGCTATTTGTTGTCATCGTATAACTGTATATTTTTTTCTTTATATTTGTTTGTTGGATACAATAATTGTCGAAAGTGCGATCATTATCCCACAAGAGAAACGCTTAAAAACCACATATCATTGCTAGTAACTTCGTCCCAGGGCTTTTTTTTTTTCTCTTAAGGCGGGAAAAGCCTTGTGGAGGAGGTTGATTTCCTAGGCGTATTTCAACTTAAAGTTTATATTTATGTAAAAATGAAAGGAAAGGAAGGTTTTTTTCTTTTCTATACGAAATTGTAGGTTGTTTTATGCGAAAATGTCAGTAACACCCATATCTTCGGATCCTACCCCACACGCACATACCTTTTAGTCGAAAGATTGCTCACAGGCTATGCCCGATTGAAGAGAGAATGTTGTCCATCATCTTTGTAAGAATATAATATTTTGTGAACAAAAGAGTGATAATATTAATATTTGTTTACATTGATAAAAAAAAGTATATTATAGAGAAGGAGATTTTCAAAATAGTTCTGTGATAGTCCATGTTAAGTTTGTTAAGTTTCGCAGCACTTTATTAAACGGCCCTATTATGTTACAAAATATAATTTGTTTTTGTTTGTTTGTTTTTGGCGGAATCTCAGTTTATAAGTCATGTAAAACTGTACTCATGATTGTCGAGAAGCTCATGACAAATAGAAGAAAATTCCACCTTTCCATGGAAAAGAAAGGTTATATTCCACTGGCTGTGCATAAGTGTACTGGCTGAGATAAGTGGAAAATATCTTTCTCACAAACCACTTGGGGCCTGGGTATAGGTCATGTGACCTAATCGCGGACAGTTGCGTTTGTTGCGTCCTCCATTTCTGACCTTCAATTCAATTCAATCAACTTTTTTTAAACACGGTAAATGGCTCAGCAAGCTGGTTTTCGGACATGCCGTGTAACAATTACAAGTTATATATATTAAAACTATGTTTAAAAACATCGTAACTAATAAGTGCCTTTTTTCTCCTTCTTCTAAGTAGACCACTTTAGAGAATTTAGCACATCTGATGATTTGACGGAGTATGATCAGCCCAAGCGATAATCCGTGCTACACTATTTTGCAACTTTTTCAATTTGTCAGCACGTGTTTTGGAGCAGTCACCCCATACAGCATCACAATAATCAAACTGAGGCCCGAAGGGCCGAAAAAACTTTTTTTGCGGACCGCAAAAAAATGGCTAAGTGAAATAAATAACGACACCAGAAAAGATGCTAACCAAAGCAACAAAATGAGAACATACCGGTTATTCAAAACGATAGACAATTACAAATGTGAAGATTACCTACATCAGGTTACCAATACTCGACACAGAATAAGCTCTAACAAAACTGCGACTTAGCAATCACAAATTAGTCCCCCAAAAAATATAATAATAATAATAATAATAATAATAATAAAAAAACACAAATTAGCCACAGAGACAGGACGTTATTCGAGACCGTTTAAGAAACCTGCAGAAAGAATTTGCCCAATTTGTAAAATAGAAATGGAGGACGAATACCATTTTCTAAATATATGCCCTGCTTACCAGGAAAAAAGATGTTCGTTACTAAATTATTTGGAAAAAGAATATGGAATAAAAATACGCAGAATGTCACCTAACAAAATATTCATTTTTGTAATAAATCCCCATAGCGGAAATGCTAAAATACAAAAACTAATAGCAAAACATATATTCGAATGCTTTGAAAAAAGGAAAGGGGAAGACGGCAAAAAGTAAATACTCTAGGATTTAATTAATTAATAACTTATTAGCCATATATGGTGAGGAATTTTTTGTTGTTCGTAATTTTGGTTATTTGGAAATAGTGGATATACTATTTATTGTATAACACTCCAAATAAATAAAACATGTATGTATGTATGACCCAACCCCCCCTTATGTCAAGGTCTAGATATTATCTAGCCCACAACTTACTGAGGGTCTGAGAACAGAGATAAGGTGTTGTGAATGTATCCTACATTTACAGGGCGAAAATGAAAATTTGAATCGGTTCTAGTTAAGAAATCCTTCGGTTGAAAAACAGTATCCAGAATACTAGATGCCAGTTTACTACCTAGCGAACAAAAGTGGTTTTTCATTCCTAATTTTGTCAGTGCCCCACCTTTTCTAGGGGTATGTTATGTGTACATTTTTATGAATATGGTATAAAGGCCAGACTGCCGAGGAGGGGGGAAGGGGGGCGGGGGAGAGAATAAAGTGCAATACAGGAGACTCGAAAACAATCAATAGCCTCACTTAGGGGTGTACATTGGAGATTTTGGTATCACTTAGGGTTTTTAGGACGGAACAGCGCGCCAGTTTTTATACTGAACACAGAGGAAAAGAGGATTCGACGACAACATCCTCGTAACAATTGCAGCAGTTATTTAGCTGTCCTGGCTGTTTTACAAATAGGATGGTATCCTTAGGGCTCAAATAAGGAACGAGCAACGTCCTGACTCTTTTCAAGTTTGTTCTTCCCTCGGGTCACAACTTGGAACTTAATTATAAGGGGTGAAAGAGAAAGGCAAAAATCTAAAAAAAAAAAGAGTAACAATAATTATGGATTTCTCCTCGTGTAAGGGAATCGAGATTCCGGACTCTGAGAAATTTTTGCCTGGGAATCCAGAAAAGGGGAAAATTTTTCTCATGGAATCCGGAATCCTAGGTTTTGGAATCCGGAATACGGCTCAATTTAATCCGGAATCCCACTAACGATGTCAATCCAGAATCCCAGTTTTACTGAAAAATACTGGAATCCAGTACCTGGAATCCGGAATCCATGGCGTGGAATCCAGAATCCAACCGACTGTCCTGAGTTCCCTCAGGGGCACCCGACGACTGTTTATGTAAATTATATGTTCGGAGAACCAAATATTGCCCAGAATTTTCTATTACTTGAGGAAGCCTGAAAATTTCTAGATGACCTTTCTACTGATGTCAATTTTCGAACTATATAATAAATTTCCTGCCATTTTCTGACGTTTGATTTTTCACATTTCACAACCCAGGTTAGGCCATTTTTCTTAGGAAAAACTAAACCTAAAATTTCCGGCTTCTTCAATGTGATGGACGGAGGAATCAAAACAATTTTCGTTTTCGTAATGCACTAAATTGCATCTAAATATTTCGGTAAAATAATACTGAAGCCGTTGAATTTGGAAAAGTCAAGTTCCCCTAGGATGACCGAACAGATACAAATTTTAAAGCGCCGCTTAGAATACATTTCTAAAGGTCTAAAAAAAATACTCTGGATAGCCTAAAACGTGTTTTCAATGCATTTGGGAGGAAAGCGTGGTTGGGTGCCCCTGATTCCCTTACCTGGAGCGACGGATTTATTTATATTTATAAGAAAGTGTGTGACATGAAAAGTTAAGTTATTACGTATATGAAAGGGGTACCATTTTTCAAAGAAAGGTATGGTATATACCGTAAACACGGGGTATTTATAGTTGGACCTCGATCGGGGCTGAGCCTACCCGTATCAACCTTTGTTGAGTACCCCACCCGGGGCTCACACTTTCCTAGTTTGTACGGGTACAAAGTATGGTCTCTTGAGTGGTCTAAATCAATATTGAGATTCTATAGAGAGAATTTAGTTTTAATCAAAAAAACATAATTTCGTCTTTATTATCGTTTTCACTATAGTACTTGTGCGTTATGAATTCAAACACTGTTTAGAAATTACGTAATTCACCTCCGAATAACAGATTTTGTCTCTTTTTACATTAATACCAATCTTCCTGTTTGCACTGGTACAAAATCCTCTCGCTTTCGCTTGACCGCAGAGATAGCAGTCAAAAGTCAAAACAAACTCCTGTGAGAAATTTGTCTACCACACTAGATTCGATTCAATTCTAAGAAAGGTCTCTAGTCTCTCTTGACGGCTGTGAAGGGTTAAATTACATCAGTTTTTCCGCTTGCGAACGTCTAGGTACAAATATTGAATCCCCAGTCCTTCAAAAGAATTCTTTGAATGTAGTAGAAAAGCTGCTTATAGGCTTTAATTATCATTTGATTTTTATGCCCTAGGAAAGTAATAAGTCATTGGTTATCGTTTTCTTAGGCTCAGTCACTGAGCCTATCCCCGAAAAAAGGCTCTTTTTCAAAATCCATTGTTTCTCCTAAGGTTACTTCCGGTTGGATCGGTACAAACTACCTGCAAAACAAAATTGGTTTGTTCAATCGAGGTTCAATTCTATCGCTTACCAACTATTACCTTTTTTCTATGCGCGAGCGAAGTACACATGTATTTGTTTTTAATATGAAGAGCAAATAACGTTCGCTAACGTGAGCATTTTGGTTGTAGCTGTTAGTCGATGATGTAA